GATGCGGATTAACATTAGCGGACCCGACATTTGCGGACCTGGTAATTTTTCAAAAAAAGTTTCGTCCTGAATATTTAGTCGTGAATATTGAGAACGTCTTGGGCTTGTGTATTAAAAAATTGTCGAATTTGAACAGGTAAAAAGTTCTATCCCCAAGATTGTAGACTGATTCAACTTTTCCGGATAGAACCGGTACCCTGCATTTTTGGCTCTCAACCCGATCCAAAGGAATATGTGTAAGTCGAAGAACTTTGAAAATCCTTTATTTTTTCAAATCCTTAATTGTTCCGCAAATGTCGAGTCCGCAAATGTGTATCGGTTGATCTCGGTCTCGGGTTGGCCGATACCAGTATCGTTTTGCCCAACTCTACTAAAAATACGAACATAAAGCTTATTCGCCTTAGTGGTGTGGTATTCGCCAACCGTTATTAAATGATCTATTAATAGAATAACATATTGTTTCAGTTTACTTTATTTGCAGGCCGGAATTTTTAGCAAAAAGGTTTCTGAAAATATAATAGATAGGAATATAGGAAAAAATATACTGAAGATTGTGGGGCTCTTTCTACTGAAGATTGTGGGGCTCTTTCTGCGGACTTTTTTTGCGGACTTTTCCTCCCTTTCTTTCAAATGTATTTTTTAAAGTTTTGGTTGTTTTGCTTGCAGCAAGTTTTGCTTGTAGCAACTAACTGTCAAAGGATTAATTTTTATGTCAGTTTGAAAAATGTGTTCACCATTGATTTAAACATTATAACGATTTCAATTACTCGATGAACTTCAACAATGGATCACTGATCTCGGAAATAAAAAGAACATGTGATTGTGGAACAGAAATGCGGGTACTTTCAAACCTTGTCCCCCCCCCCCCCCATTATTTTTATTACCTAAGATTGTATAAAATGGTCAGATTTCATTCTTCCTCTCTTTCCTCTATTTGAGCTTGGCATATTCAAACAAGACATTGTTGATAAAGAGAAAATTAAAATTAATTGTTGTTCAATATTTTTAATTGAGTTGTTCAATATTGAGTTCAATTTATTTTTTCAGTTGTTCAATATTTTTAAATATACATAAGAATGTAATGTTTTTACACAGAAATTCATAATGTTATACACCAAATCAATTTTATTTACTGCTTTTTTTGTTTAAATTGTTTTCGAAGGCTAAAAATAAGTGTATGACTATAAAAACTAATCTTCTCTTTATCAATGTCTCGTTTGAATTTGCCACAGGGCAAATAAAAGAAGGCGAGGAAGAAGAAAATCTAACATTTATGTACAATCTTATGTAAGAAAAATAATAGGGGAGGGGCGTTGACAGTTAGTTGCTACAAGTAAAACATTCAAAAGAAAGGGAGGAAAAGTCCGCAAAAAAAGTCCGCAAAAAGAGCCCCACAATCTTCAGTAGTACCAATCTTTGTTATAAATTTCTCATCAGTTAGTATTATTCTAGTTGCTTTTTTGCCCTTATGATTTAAATAAATAATTAATTTTAGATATTCGAAATTTAAAAGTTCCTAAATAACGGATTATTTTTTGTATTAATATTTTTGATGCTTCTGAACGGAAATTTCGAGCAATTTTGTGGAATTTAAAGATTAAATGTAAAAGTTTTCTCGTTTCTCGTGCATTGAATATTCTCACTTATTTGTTTTATGTCATTTTTTCAAAGGAATATTACCTCATTTACATTAGAATTTACTTCAACTTGGTCATGTTCGCTCATAAATTCATTTTGTTTGTCATCATCATCAGGGCTGAGCGTTATGGCGTTTGGCGATCCAACAGACAGATCATCAGTATATAATTCACTACCAAATGACTCATACTGAAATTTTATAAGCATTTTATATTTTTCATTTTATCGCCCTCTATCTAATATAATATCTCATTCTATATTATTGTTTGATGTTTTCTTATACATTAATTAAAAGAATTTATTTTTACAATGATTGTCACAATTTGAAGATTAAAAAATTCTTTTTATTGAAAATCTGATAGAAAAGCAAGAGAAATTAACGCAGTCTACAACGGGTATATCCCAAGGTATTTTTTTAAATATTCCGAAAAAATTATTAGCTGTACTTTAGTATAGGTCCATCGAGATCGGAACTCATACTATATACCATTCGATTTGTCTCACCGAGCTGAGTTATGAAAGAATTTTCTGCCGGAGACGGAAACTCACAGAGATATAGGCCCCTGAAAATCAAAAAACCATAGGGGGGACCAAGCACTTTTTGGGGGTGAAAAATTCGAATATACAAATTATACCTCATTCGAAAGAACTCGTCGAGCTGAGTCGAATGAGACCAAAATCAACGAAACCTGACATGATTTGACAAAGTTATGACCTTTTGTTTCTACTCGACGAGCTGCTTCAACTCGACGAGCTCTTTCGATTGAGGTATAATTTGCATATTCGAATTTTTCACCCCAAGAAATGCTTGGTCCCCCCTAAGGTTTTTCGATTTTCGGAAACCTATATCTCTGTGAGTTTTCGACTCTGGCAGAAAATTCTTTCATATTTGAACTCAGCTCGGCGAGACGAATCGAATGGTGTATAGTCTGAGTTCCGATCTCGGTGGACCTATACTAAAGCGACCACAAATTATTTAAAGAATTTAAAAAGATTCAAAATAATCCTAATGAAAGTTTAAAACTAACATTTTAAAAAATTAAACTCACACCAAAACACATGAGCCACCACCACAGAAGAACACCAACATATTGAGAGACCCTGAAAAAATAATTTAATGATTCAAAGTTAATTTAAATTAAAAAATACTAAAAACTTTTTCGAACTACCTACATTAATCTCATCTTTTTGCGGAAAATAATTGCAATATCCGATCCCAATCAAGGTGACACCGACCTCCCCCTACATTTTAGAACAAAAAACAGGCATGACCGCACTATACTTCGGGTGTGCCAAAGCAAAAACCCTCGGCCGTGTGTTTTAAAAATTTAAAAAATTCAAACAAAACCTAGCCCCACCTGTCTCTGTTAACCAATATCTCAGTCCGTAAAACCTTCCCCCCTCCCCCCAAATCCACGGGCAAAAAAATAAAAATAAATTTCCACCTCATCGTGTTTCAATTCCTCTTTAACTCTTTCTTCAAAGTGCTTTGCAACCTTCCTTCACAGTGCTTGGTTGCTATCGGTCTCGTGACAATATTGAGCCATAGATGAAGTTTACCATCAACCCTGAGAAAAGGAGAAAATTTAAATTATCCGTAAAAGTTCTACTGATTTCTCTAAAAGCCGTAAAATCGCCAAGAATTTGCGGACAATTCGATGAGGCAATCTAAAAATTCGCAAAACTTGTCAGAATATTTTTGCAAACTAATTTCCTAACATCAAATTTCAGAAATTTTTTGTCGATTTTCCGACTTTTGAGAACTCTGTGTAACTTTACGGATAAATTGTGTGAACGTTTAGGGTAAATTTTGTAAAACTAAAAAACAACTAAAAACAAAAAAATTTTTTAAGATATGTAACCCAATTTTATGGGAAAAACTTAAATTAAAAAAACCCCGCCCCCACTTTTGTGTCTATTAACCATTATCTCAGTCCGTAAAACCAATAAAACTGGACCGAATTAAAAAAAAACAAAAATAGTTTCTCAAAGGCCCCCTCTAAATGACCCCAAAAAAGCTTCCAAAATAAATTCTTGCGGCGGCGCAGAAAATGGAAGAAATCTAGCTTTTAAACGTAAACTTAAAATGTTAAAAATATGGCACGCAAAATTTCCCTCCATAAAAATAATTGGCGGCAAAATAAGGCTGTAGTGTAGTGTACCGGTGGTAAAAGTTCGGAACGTGACATATGTCATTCGATTCGTCTCGACGAGCTGAGTCGAACGGTACTACTCCCTACTTTAGGAAATGATTCTGGACCGAGTTATGGGTCCCGAAAAATTGAAAAACCAAAGGGGGGAGTAAGCTCGATTTTGGGGTGAAAAATTCGAATATGCAAATAATAGCTCATTCGAAAGAGCTCGGCGAGCTGAGTCGAATGACACCAAAATCAACGAAATCTGACTTGATTTGACAAAGTTATGACCGTTTGTTTTAACTCCTTACCTATGGCGCCCGTGGAGGTTTTTGCTGCTACAGGAGCCCCAAATACATCCAGAGCAAGGGAGATGGGACTAGGTTTATGTTACTGACCCAGACCCAGCGCCCGTAGACTCCCCGCGAGGCGCGTGCCGCAAAACCCCGCGCGAAGCGCGGGGTTTTGCACAAGCGCCTCGCCGACGCCCCATAGGTTTATGTTGTTTGTTTTTCTATTGTAACTTTGTCCAAACTTTTACAATCAAGCTGATTTTGGTGTCATTCGACTCAGCTCGACGAGCTCTTTCGAATGAGCTATTATTTGCATATTCGAATTTTTCACCCCAAAAAGTGCTTGGTCCCCCCTATGGTTTTTCAATTTTTCGGGACCTATAACTCGGCCCAGAATCATTTCCTAAAATTAAGAGTGGTACCGTTCGACTCAGCTCGTCGAGACGAATCGAATGACATATGTCACGTCCCGAACTTTTACCACCGGTACACTACACTATATCCCAAAATAATATCACATCACCAAAAAATGAATTATCTTTACTCGGACACTTCAGTGCCTCGTTTTTAGCGCCGCAGACGGAAATTACCTATATGAATTTTGAAGGCCATCCAGTTAAATCTATTCAGGGCCGCAAACGAAAATTTAGACAATATATTGAGTCTCATGGCAATAATGAGTCATAGATGTAGTTAACCGCAAATTAAAAAAATTCCATTTAAAAAATAAATTAGTGAAGAACCATCCCATTGTGTTACTGGTAACCCCACTAAAATCGATTGATATGTTATTCAAAAGAACTCGTCGAGCACTTTTGAAGTATATTATTTGTATATTCGGACTTTTGACCCCAAAAATTCCTCCAAAAAGTTGCCCATTTCGAGCCCCATTTTCTGCCCAATTATAATCCGCGGGCTAATTGGATGTTATTCGACTAGGACGACGAGCTTTTTGAATAACACATCAATCGACTTAATCGGCATCAATCGACACGGGTAGAGGGACCATAGACAGGCAAAACTTAGACAAACCCAGAAAAAAATTTTTAAAACAAAAAATTAAAAAAACCTTCAATCTACGCCCATCAGCAGCTGCCTGCTCCTTTTCTTACCCAACAAAAATTCACACAACCACGTGGTAAAAGTTGAAGTTGACGTCATCTTCCACTTGTCTCCATCAACCACAAATTTCAATTCCGCTAAATTAAAAAAATATTTTTTTAATTTAAAAAAATAAACGTTTGATAGCCTTAGCAGCAGTAAGAGTCAAAAAGCTAACTTCAAGTTGCTTCAAATATTCGGCAAAGTTCGTAAAACGCCTTAAAAATTAATTAATTAGTTGGAATTAGAATCTTGAAAGGGTAGGAAATAGTGTTTTGTCGGAACCGAAAATTTTACTGTAAATCATTCAGTATACTTATATTCATGTTCATGCTGTGGAAAAACTGTGGATAGGAGATGGAATTGAACCATCACTGAAAGAGCCCAGACCGAAGCACAACCGACTGTGCCACCATCCAACCCGATGATGAGTTATTTATTCTCATTTATATTTTTTCTGCAAGTGCGGACACAACAAGTATACTTATCCAGATGAGATTTAGCACCGCAGTAGGCAATTTTTAGGATTATGTAAGACCAAGAAAATAAATTTGTCCCTTTATTAGCGCCGCAGGCGAAAATTTTGAAAACTTCGAAGCGCAGTATATTTTGGTAGAAAAAATAAAAAACTTTAAAAAAGAGAACCTTACAAATTAAAAGATATAAGTATTCGCCTGAGCGTAATGATTGAATATGTTTTCTGTTCTGGGCCGAACCGACCAGAACCGAACGGACGAAACAAGGATTTTTATGTCCGGATCCGGATTCCAAAAATATTCTAGGAACCGAAAAACCTATTATTGAAGCCTAAGTTAAGATAAAAATCTAAACTCTGGCTAATTACCTAATTTCTCGAAGGCTCACTTTTGGTTAGCATTTTTAGTTGGATTATCCAACTCTCAAAAAATTGCAAGAGAAATGGCATAGGAATCTTCCTTCAAATCTATTTATTATTGAATATGTTTTCTGTTCTGGGCCGAACCGACCAGAACCGAACGGACGAAACAAGGATTTTTAACATTTTTACATTTTTAATATAATATTTACATTTTTACATTTTTAATATAACATTTTTAATATATTTTGGTGTTTAAATTAGGGTTACACCCCGAACGCTCGGGGGCGGGTGTATCGGGGAACGGTGTTTTCGAATTGTTTCGGGGCGGGGGACGGGGCGGGGAGAAGTCTAAAAAATCGTCGGGAGCGGGGTCGGGGAACGGAGTCGGGGTGCAACACTAGCTTAAATCAGTGAAGTTATATTTTTAAAAAAGTCAAGACCAAGACCGAAAAACCCAAAGAAAGATTTTAAGGCAAGACTCATAAAACACGAGTCTTGCACAGCTTCAGTAAATACAGCGCTTTGTTTTCTATACTTCTTCGCTCTTTCTTATCTATTTTGTGTACGGAAACAATGTTTCCTTTTACAATAAAAAGAAAAGAGAGAACATAGAGAACACAATTTTCCGCTTATAAATATAGTAAATTTTCAGTCTTTTTTTCATTTTAGTCTTTTTTTTCAAAAATGTGAAAATTTGTTTTTTTTTTTTGTTTTTACTAATATTTCTTTTGTATTTATTTTCCAAAAATTATTTTGTTTTTTTAAATTTTCTTTTTATTATTTTGTGTTATGAAGTTGTACAAGTTTTGCCTTCTTCTTTCTCCTTGAATATAAAAAATTGTCAAGGATTAGTAATTACTTTAGCAGTATCTAATTTGTTTTCCGATTAGAGTTGTCAGTTTAGAATCGAAGCCCAACAAGCCCGGTTGAACCTTTTTCAATGCCTAATTCCAATTCTTAATAGTCAGTATCAGATCACATTTTTAGGTTATTGCCTTTTTTTTCATCATTGTTTTGGCATTTTATACCACCTTTTAGGTGCCGTGTGATTTGGGCAGAAGCGACGTGGTTAACTTTTTATTTAATCTTAATATTTTTTCAATTTAACCCTTATATAAATATGTATACTAGCGAAGTAGGTCGGCCTTCGGTCGCCCCGCCCGCTAGCAAAAACACAACCTCAAAATTGATCCTAATTGAAGACACTTAACGATACCTTGTAATCATAATTACAACAAACCTGAACTCACTGAACTCACTCTGATTTTAAATAATTAAGTTCATAAATTTTGATAGTATAGTACTAATATTGTTTTAATATTTTTTATTAATAATTGGCTTACTGATTCCAAAAATAAAATCTGTTATCTCATTAAATCTACCGTTATTCATTTTTAGTATTCATTTATAGCTTCCTTAGATAATTCATAAGCGATCAAAATTATCTAGTCAAATTTTTGCATACATATCACACTTTAAGATCATTAACTGTAATTAAATACGTATTTTACAGATACAAATAAATAATGTTCGTCAAGGTCAACTATAGTATTTCTAATAAAAATGAAAAAATTACTGTCAGCAACAATTCCCGAATTGGTGATATTGTTTTAAAAATTTTATCAAACAACAATTTGGCACATAAAAGGGATGAATTTGAAGGTGAAGATATTTAAATGGAGTTAATAAATACCGAAATATTCTAATAGATGGATATGCCCTATTAGTTAATAATATTAGGACCTATTGGAATATAAAAGCCCTAGTAAATAGCACCTATGTATCTTTAAAAAAAGATATAATTGAGCTAAAATTAGATTCATATCTGTTTTGAAATCTTACTAAATCTTATAATTTAAAATAATTTATTCAAATTATTCAATAGTATAAAATTTTTCATCTGATTTTCTTAATACGTTCCACAAATACACAATAAAAAAATTACATATCAAATAGTTATGTTATTGACACTGTTCATAATTAGGGCTAGGATTTTAGGCAAAATGCCAGTTTTTTTCCTAGATAGGCCTGCTGCTGAAACGTTCGAATCCGGTGTTATTTTACTGAAATGTTCTTTCTAACTAGTTTTATCGTTGCCTAAAATTGCCTATTTTAACTTTTTCTGGAAAAGTGCCCTATTTTGCCCTTTTTCGGCCTATTTTGAATATTTTTGCTAAAATTTCTGCATATTTGGGCATTTTTTGCAAAATTTGTTGTCTAAAAATTATTTTTTTTGGTAAAAAATATAATTTTTCCGAAAAAATTTTTATAATTAAATTTTTTCCAAAAAAAAAATTTTTTCAAAAAAATTTTTTACCTTAAAAATTTATCCAAATTATTTTCGTAAACAAAATAATTAATATAAATTGATTTCTGTGTAGTTCTGATCATTGAAATTAATTTATTTAGCATTTTATTGCTTAGATTTAACTTTTTTGATAAATTTTAGCCTATTTTGTGCATATTTCGGGCATATTACTCTTGCATATTTTGCCTTTTTTTCTTATTTTAGCGCCTATTTTGGCAGTTTTTTAGTGCCTATATAGGCGCCTATTTATAACTTTATAGTGCCTAAAAATCCTAGCCCTATTCATAATAATACAAGTTGACCCAAATGTTATCGAACAGATTTATGCCTTAACTTTATTCAAAATAATTAATTAGATCAAAAATCCTATATGATAGAGAATTATAATCGAGATTTTTAAAGTATCTAAGTTGGAGTATTAAGTTGAAGTTACATCGATATGCTTTTGGCACAGTCGTGGAGCCGGATCAAAAGTTGGGAATAAGACTTGTTTTTAAATTTACCTTCCAAAAATAATAGTTTATACCTTTTAAACAAAATTTTAAACTTGAAATATATTTTTAAATAATATTTGCATCAAAAACAATGGAAAAACTCTGAATTTTTTCGACTTCTCTTCTAGGCACTCAATATATCACAAAATTCTAAAGCAAAACTTGCGCGCCTTTGGCGCTGAGTCTGTGCCTAATAGCTCAAAATTTGGATTCTTTTCGTTAATCACTCATTCGGGTATAGGAGAAAATCTCCATCATGGTGTTGCGAACTTTCGCCCAAAATTTTCCTCACGCACACGGTTCTATATCCCTCCAATGGTGGGTATTTCGAAAATTCCTGATTATATTTGTTCTTGTTTAATTCTCTATCATTTAAGCTTATTTCGATTTCAATATTTTAGATTTAAATAAAGTTACGCCATAAATAATGTGTCCAAATTTTTAAGGGTACCCTGTAAATTAGAGTTTGACCCCGAATCCTGAGGGCACGTTTTTCGGGGAGCGTTAGAGGATGACGACGATAAATTGTGAGTGATGTTCTGTCAGTCATCCTCCAACGCTCCCCGAAAAACGTGCCCTCAGGATTCGGGGTCAAACTCTACTGTAAATAACCATTGATTCAAAGAACGAGAATAAGTTATTATATAATGAAATTTACATAAAGTTACCAGCCCAGATAAGTTATCGGATGAAAAATTTTTTATTATACATAATATACATAAAACTATTTTTAATAAAAGAGCCATAACGCTATATAATTTTTATGAATACATAGTCTATGTTTCCAGATAAAATTGTTGATATTTGAATTCATGATTTTTCTTTTAAGTTAAATTGATTTTGACAAGAAAGCAAAATTTGGATCAAAATGCTAAGCAAGTTGTCAGGTGAAAAGTTATATAAAATCTAGAAATTTTTGTTGTATAAACATTGCTTAGGGTCAATTTGAACTTCATGATATAACCTACAAAGTTGAGATTTCATTTTAGAAAAATGATTAACCAATGACATGTTTTGGTGCCCGAATAAGAGATATCCATATAAAATTAAATCCATATAAAATTTATGAGTCCAATTAAAGGTTTATGCGTCCAATAAAAATTATGAATATATCCAATGAAAATTTAAGCATACATCAGTGGATAAGGGGAACATAGGATTTTCTACTGATAGTGAATATAATTTTGAATATAATTTTATTTTTTAGAAGCCAAACTAATGTGATGAATTTATGGTTAGCTAGTTCTGATGAAAGTGATGGCGAGAAAAGTGATAAAGGTGAATATTATTAGTCACTAGGGCCCGGATTTGTATGGATTTACATATTTTTTGATCATAAGTTCTGCCAAAATTTTCAAAAATTTCGCCAGCGTCGCAATAATTGAAGTATTGTGGCTTGAGGATCTTCCAAAATTTCCAAAATCTATCCATATTTGGATTGTACATATTAGTCCATATTTCATGTCCATATTGCACATTTGATCGTCCATACATTTCCGTGCCCTATTAATCACAAACCTGTGAATGATCACGGCACTAAAATCAACCAAATCCAACGACTAAAATTTAAGATTCCAATAAATCCCTTTAATAACCATTATTTAAATATTTTCTATACATATTTTAAAATTCCTAATTAGATATTGTTGCTGGTAGTGATCGTACAGACAAACCATTATTAAAGGCTGGTCGTCATTATCTTAAATATAAAGCAAAACGTAATTCATGGCCA